TTTTTCATGAATGCAGACAATAAAATCGAGTGGCTGAACCTCTGGTGCACTTCTAATCATTGGAGGATCCGTTACACACGTCTACTGTTTTATTTGGAATTTTTAATGAACACACACTGTTTTGTCTATTTATTTATTTTTATTTTTAGTGCTTAGTGCTTAGTACCATTTTTCTCTGGAAAATAGCAGCTCAAGGCACAACTTTTTATATCTTGATAAATTGTTCCTAGGTTATACGGAACATTATTACCAATATTTCAGAATCGATAGAAGCTCATATATATTCACTCTCCTTATCTTTTTTCAAGAACCAATAATCTATTTTTCAACAATGAAAACACAGTACATTAAACAATTTTTAACCTCTAGCATTAATAATCCTCTGTGAAATCAATGAAAAGTTTAGGACACACCTCCTTTTCACATATCAACACAGAACAGTCTGTTACAACCGTGTTAGCTTAGCATAATGAATTGAAGTGAATGGAAACATTAGCCCATTGTGTCCCACAGTAACAAACTACAGAAACCCCAAGCTGTCCTGTTTCCAGGTATGTCTGAAATAAACACAATCATATGAGAACTATTTCATAGGAGTCATTTTAGGGGAAATCACAGCTTTTGTAAGGAATATAATGACACCGTGTGATATCTAGCCTCCGTTTGAGTTTTGTGACAGTCGTCGTAAACTAATCTAACTACACCATATCCATTATTTCTTCAGGGTCAGGCCTATAGGGAGAGGAAGAGAGAAAGATGAGGCTGAATGTCCTGTTGTAGTGAGCTGCAGCCCAGCGGGCCACAGTCTGACTGAGCTCGTTAGCCTGAAATGAGGAACACCTGTCACCTGTGGATTCTAGGTGGGGATCAGGAAGCAGAAAACGACAGTTTTCCTCACAGAGGAGGACTCTGCTGTAAGTTCTCTAACAGGTTCAATGGGATGGATTCTGGCTGATTATTTCTTTTTCAATTTTTGACAATGAATGATTGCTGATAGTTTTTTTTTAAATATTGACAATGAACGGCTGATTGTGATTCAGTTGATTTTTTCAAAATGCTGACAATGTGTGAGTGATAGTGAATAATTTTCATTTTTACAATGAATGACTGAAGATTTTTCCAAATATTGACAACTAATGACTGATCCAAACTTCATCGTCAGAATCCAGCATTAACTTCCTATCTGATCTCCACAGATGATGGATGCATACGTCCATAAGGTTGGTCCAGGATGTCTGCAGGACAGCGGGGATGACCAGGGCAGATTTTTCCTGTCCAAACAAGGCATGCCAGTTGGCAACGTTGCAAACGCCCTCAAGCGTCTGCATGAACAGTAAGTTTTAGCTGTATCATATATTATGTCAAATGTTAAGAACAAGACTACATGAACAAGTTAGTGTGTAGGTTTTTAATGAGGTGGAACAGAAGCTGACTTGCATTAAAGCTGGCTGAATCAAAGTGTGAAACTCTGATTCTCAGCCTGTGGACACATGCAAAGTTACACATGTGAAAGTTTACCTGCAATGTTTTTTTTTCTTTTTTAGTTGAACTTTCCTCAGAAAGAAGTGGTTTGCAGCTGAATGTGTTCTGCTGTCCAGTCGGGGATCCTCCAGCATGTTCCGTGTTTCTCGTTGTAACTAGTGATGGGCTATCTGAAGCCAGGCTTCGAGGCTTGTACCGAGTAATAAGGGGGCGTGTCAATGAAGCCCCGCTTCGAGGCCTGTGTTGTCTTGTTGAAAACCACGTGACTGGCAACAAACGAGGCTTCGCATTGCATTGGTCACGTGACTGCTTCATTTTGCGTGTCGGTCTTCAAAATAAAAGCGCGATGAATCCTGTTGCTTCGTGGGTTGTAGTAGGTGGTTTGGTATCAGCAGAACAGTTTTCATCAGCAGTGGTTGAAATGGAGCCATCAAAAAAGAGAAAAACCTCTCATATGTGGGAGTATTATGAGATGACAGGTCACAATAAGGTTTGTATAATGTTTACCCAAGATCTGACTACATTTCCCTCATTAATAGCAACGTTGTGTTAACTTCCACATCCTTTTAATTCAGGTGAAATGTTTGCTGTGTGACAGGGTGTTGGTCTACAACAACAACACATCATCAATGATTAGGCATTACAGGGCCATGCATGAAAATAAGCACACTTCAGACACAGGAGACACCAGCCAGAGTATGACATTGTCTTATGTTTTGTAAATTATTTCATTCATATTTATATCTATCAGTATATTATTGTGTCATTTAAATTGTTTTATATTTATGCGTCTTGCAGGTTCCAGGAAGCAGGTGCTAGATGAGGCTGTGGCAAATCTGATTGTAAAGGATTCCCAACCTTTTTCCGTAGTGGAGGATGAGGGCTTCAGAGAGCTCATTCATTTGCTGGATCCAACCTATGTTCTTCCTACTAGAAAGGTTTATATGTGTAAACAATAACAGCTAATGTGGTAATTTGAAATCATTTCAGTTATTAAAATGAATAATTTTGCTTTTTATTTTAGGCATTAAAAAAGATGGTGGAAGATAAATTCTACAAAACAAAAGAAAAGGCCAAAGAAGACATCCAAAAGGTGACTGCCGTCAGCCTGACAGCAGATATGTGGACGTCCATGAATATGGAGGCATACCTGGCCATAACATGCCACTTCATTGATCCCAATGACAAACTGAGCATTGTATTAATTGGAGTGGAGCATTTCCCTTACACTCACACATCTGACAATCTGGCCAGGGTAGTGCATAATCACATGGCGGAGTGGGGAATTACTGATAAGGTGAACTGTCTGGTGTACTGATGCAGCTGCTAACATGATTGCATGTGCTAAGGCATTAAAGATCAGGCACTCCATCTGCATTGCTCATGGACTGAATTTATTAGTCCGAAAATCATTTGACCAGATCCCTGACCTCTGTGACATCCGCGCAAAGGCTAAAAGAATTGTGGCATATTTCCACTCAAGCACCACAGGTAAAGAAAGGCTAGAAGGGACTCAAATACAGATGGGAAGACAATCACAAAAGCTCATAATCGATGTGGACACACGCTGGAACAGCACTTACCTTATGTTGGAACGTCTGTTTCAACAAAAAGAACCTGTGGCCGCAGCCCTCACAACACTCAAAACTGATATAATCCCTTTGACTTCTCAGGATTATGAGATAATTGAGGAATCCTTACCCGTGTTGTTCCCATTTTTCCAAGCAACTTCAGAGCTCTCTGAAGAGAAAAGAGTGTCAATATCCAAGGTTATACCTTTAATGAACATGCTGCACCATGCAGTGCTTACAAAGATGGCAAATATCAAAAATGATGTTGCAAGACTTCTGTCTGAAAACCTATTGAGGCGTGTCAAAGAACAGGTCACAAATATTGAATCATTAAGTGTCATGACAATGGCCACATTGCTGGACCCTAGGTTCAAAACTCTTGGTTTTCTCAGTCAAAGCAAAGCACAAGAGGCGGTAAGGCGGCTGAAAGCAGAATGTTCTACACTGATTGCAAGCAATGAAGGAGTCCAGCTGCAGGAATCAGGAGATGCAGGAGAAGGCGCTAGCAGATCTTGTGAGTTTTTATATATTTTGACATTTTCTTGTGACATTTGTACTACTGTATTTCAGCTCTTGGAGTTGTGTATTATCTGTAATGATCTTTTGTTTTTATTTATAGGTGAACTGTGGTCTCTTTTAGATACTACAGTGGACCAGAAGAGGCATAGCTCCAATGCCACAGCAGATGCCATTGTTGAAGTGGAGCGATACCTTGCTGAAAAGAACCTAAGGAGACATGAAGATCCATTGGTGTATTGGCATACACAGAAACATGTGCATCCCCACTTGTACTGTATGGCACTGAATTTCCTCTGTTCACCTGCATCATCAGTGCCGTGTGAACGAGTTTTTTCCAAGGCGGGGGAGGTCATCTGCCGACGAAGAAACCGTCTAAAACCTGAAACAGTGAAAAAAGTCCTATTCCTAAATAAAAACAATTAAACCTAAAATCCAGAAATTTCTATATTTTCTTTTGTTTAATCAGGAGATGCATCAGAATCACACATCAAAACCAGACTAAAAGCCATTAGAAGAGGCAAACTCTATGTGTAACTTAATATTAAGAATCAGAACTAGAACTCCTAGGAAGAGATGATTTAAAAAGAATTCTGTCTTTAAGGAAGCAAGTTTCAAGCTCAAAGTATACAGAGTCTGCAGCAACAGTCACTCAGTTCTCAATACATTAAAGTAACACATATCTTCATTGTCTAATAAGTCCATGACATAAAAGAAAACCTAACACCACCACTGATGGTCAAGGATTAGATTGGCTACAAATCATTTTAATCATTAAAACATGACAATTAAATAGGATTCTCCTCTTACTAAACATGAGTTTGATGAAAACTTTGTGACAATATTGCATTTCCTAATATTTGGAAGTATGATCCAACTGAGTAACAACGCTGTTACAGTTTCACCAGCAGATGTCACTAGTGAGTGATGAATGAAGCATCGAGTAATGAACTTTTTTCGACACTTTGCGTTGGAAAGCTTCATTGCTTCATGAGGCTTCACTTGCCCATCTCTAGCATACGGACCAGGGAATCCTCCACAGCTCTGAAACACTTTCTGCTCTGCTGTCCTCAGGGACTAAGTGGAGACAGGTGTTCCTCATTTCAGGCTAACGAGCTCAGTCAGACTGTGGCCCGCTGGGCTGCAGCTCACTACAACAGGACATTCAGCCTCATCTTTCTCTCTTCCTCTCCCTATAAGCCAACCCTGAAGAAATAATGGATATGGTGTAGTTAGATTAGTTTACAATGACTGTCACAAAACTCAAACGGAGGCTAGATATCACACGGTGTCATTATATTCCTTACAAAAGCTGTGATTTCCCCTAAAATGACTCCTATGGAATCGTTCTCATATGATGATGTTTATTTCAGACATACCTGGAAACAGGACAGCTTGGGGTTTCTGTAGTTTGTTACTGTGGGACAGAGTGGGCTAATGTTTCCATTCACTTCAATTCATTATGCTAAGCTAACACATTTGTAACAGACAGTTTTGTGTTGATATGTGAAAAGGAGGTGTGTCCCAAACTTTTCATTTATTTCACAGAGGATTATTAATGCTAGGGCTTAAAAATAGTTTAATGTATTGTGTTTTCATTGTTGACAAATAAATATTTGGTTCGTGAAAAAATATAAGGACTGAATATATATGAGCTTCTATCGATTCTGAAATATTGGTAATAATGTTCCGCATAACCTAGGAATTATTTATCAAGATATGAAAAGTTGTACTTTGAGCTTCTATTTTACCAGGGAAAAATTACACTAAGCAGTGAATCCTAAAGGTAAAATAAATAAACAAAACAGTGTGTGTGAGTATGTATTAAAATTGAAAAATAAAACAGTAAACATGTGTGTGCTTGTTTCAGTGTGTGTGTGTGTTAAAAAACTATTCAAAATAAAATAAATTAGACAGTAAGAGTGTTACAATTGAAGATAAACTAAAAAAATAAAACAGTAATCAAATCAATCTGTAATATGGTGTTAAAGCAGAGCACTCAGACTCATTTAGCCCATCACCATCATCATCATCATCATCATCATCATCATCATCATCATCAAGTCTCATGTAAATAAATCTTCACATTTAAAAACATTCCACTAATTAAAACAGAAGAGGGGATCTGGGTTTAAACTTTGAATTAGCAACAACATCAGCTGACATCTTTTCTCTGAAATGATTGGCTGTGTGTGTCATCTAGACTGGGACCACTGGGGGGCAGTAAACACCCACCATGACGCGCAGAGTCCCGAAGTCCAAGCAGTCCTTTAATCCCAACTACAACCTTGCTAGTAGAAGGCTTCTCGCTCACGTTTGATTCCCTTCAATGAATCTTCCTTATGCATCCGAGGAGCTGGTTAAAGTCAAAAGGGGAATCTAAAAATTAACTCATTCGCTGCCAAAGACGTCTATAGACGTCTTTTATGTTTTTCAATTGCGAGTGACTTGGGGGACGATCGGCGAAAGTTTTTCCGTAAATATCGGCTTCTAGACAGAGTATGGACTAACAAATTTACCCTCTAGGTAGCTGTGCCACTTTTGATGGGAGATTAGCATAGATTGTAAGCAAATAAAAACAAACGCAATGGTTCGCTATGCGAGAAATGGCGCCGGTGAGACGCACGTCGAAGAAGAACGGAATAAGGTAGAAACAAAAATTTTTTTCCTGATGATAGAAGAGAGTCTCCTCTTTCTTTTGGTGTGTTTGGTGTTTACATAGTCAAAGCACAAACTATTCTGTGGCTCTTGAAAAATCTGTCAAAATTCTCAAAAAACTCTGGCAGTGAGCGACTCTCTGTTCTGGAAATGGCTGGCAGTCAATGAGTTAAGTTAAAGTAAGCAAGAATGAGTCTAAATCATAAAAAGGGCCATTTAAAAGTTGAAGGGAAAAGGAGAAACACACAGAGGGAAAGTTCTGTGGGAGGAGCTGAAAGTTTGGTGGCAGTCCCAGAGGCAGTTTATCAGGGAGAGCAGCTCCAGAGCTCATTCTGCTTCTGTGACTTGTGCCGCCAGCCTGATGAAGCTAGCAAGGGAGGCACAATGTTTTGTTTGTTAATTCGGTTTGTTATTTTGGGGGATTATTTTAATATAATATTTTCATTTCATTTCATTAAAAAGTACAAAAGCTGCACAAAATGATTGAAGGACAAACCCTGGAGCCTGCCACAGATTCACACAAATAAAACCGCAACACCGTTGATTTAAA